TTCCTTCCTTCCTTCCTTCCTTCCTTCCTTCCTTCCTTCTTTCCTTCCTTCCTTTCTTTCTCTTTTTCTCTTTCTCTTTTTCTTTGATTTTCCCAGTTAGAATGTGGTCTGTTGAGTTTTCTTTTTAATTTTTTCCAATTATTTATTTATTTATCGATTGATTTTAACATTTTTTTTTCTTTTTAAATTTTGAGTTCCAAATTTTCTCCCTCCCATCCCTTCCTCCACCCAAGCATTATGGCAAACAATATGATATCAATTATACATGGAAAATCATGTAAAACCTATTTCCATATCAGTCATTTTTTTAAAGCAAGGAAAAAACAAATTGAGAAAATTATACATCAATTTGCATTCAAAGTTCATCAGTTCTTTTCATGAAGATGAATAGCAATTGTTCATCATGAGTCCTTTGGAATTGTCTTGGATCATTGTATTGAGAATAGTTAAGTCTTTCACAGTTGATCATTAGTATAACATTGCTATTACAATGTACAGTCATCTTCTGGTCCTTCTCACTTCACTTGGCTTCAGTTCATAATAGGTCTTGCCATGTTTTCTGAAACCACCTCCTTCATCATTTCTTATAGCACAGTAGTATTCCATTACATTCATATACCACAACTTGCTCAGCCATTCCCCAGTTGATGGGCATCCTCTCAATTTCCAATTCTTTGCCACCACAAAAAGAGCTGCTATAAATATTTTTGTACATATAGGTCCTTTTCCTTTTTTTTTAATCTCCTTGAGATCAAAGTAGTGGTATTGCTGGATCAAAGGGTATACACAGTCAAACCAACCTTTCCAGCCTCATTTAACATCATCCCCCTTCACACACTCTCTTTTAGCCAAGCTGGACTGCCAGCTGGTTCATCAAATTTAAAAAGTGTTCTTTCTCTCAATGCCTGGAATTCACTCCTTCCACGTCTCTGCCATTCAAATCCTTACCATACTTCTGTGCTCAGCTCAGGGGCTGCTCATTTCCTTCTAGCTCATGGACTGATTCTCTGACTCTTTAGGGACCCACATAGTTCCATTCTCACACCCCCACCCCCAACCACACCTGTGATTGAATAAGAAGGGAACCTGGCAGTGAGCATCCTTGGGAAAGCAGGACTGTAGAAGAAATAGGCTGTTTCAACTGGTCCTTTCTGGAAAAAGGATAACGGCTATTTCTTGGTTCATCAGAAGCCTATTATCTCTGCCTTCTCTTTCCTTTTTTCTCCAGAGGTGAAAGAGAAAAAGAATTACAGGATTGACGACAATGTGGATATTAAGATGAATATTACATTGAATGTACCCCAGATGCCATCCGCACATGGGGAAGCTGCGTTCTCTACAGCATGTAGCTTCAAGTTAAAGTCCTGTAAGATCTCCAAGGAAGGGAAGGAGTCTTTGTCGCATCGGTGAGGCTGTGCCTTTGGGAAGGGAAAAGGGAGAGGCTGTTTTGGCTGGGAAGGTGTTCAGGAGTCTCTGCAGATTATACCCATTCTGCCTATAAGATCTTTACCCTGCTTCCCCCGTAGGAGAGGTGCTACAAAGAGCTACTTTGAGGATACAACAAATTTCACTGGGGATAACTACTAGCTACATCTCAGGGAAGCCCTGACAGCTTGGGAGTATGAAACCTCCAGCTGGTAGGACAGCTGCAGGGTCTGCAAAACCATCCCAAGTATTCAAACTGGAATTGGAAGAGGCTCTTGTTTCTTTTTATTTATTTATTTTATTTTTAGGCAGTTGGGGTTAAATGACTTGCCCAGGGTCACACAGCTAGTAAGTATCAAGTGTTTGGTCTGAGTCCAGATTTGAATTCAGGTCCTCCTGACTCTAGGGCCAGTGCTCTATCCACTGCGCCACCTAGCTGTCCCAAGGCTCTCATTTCTTGGGAAGGGCATGGGAACCCCATTTCACTTTTCTTCTGTGCTGGCTCTCTCAGAGTGGGCCAGGTTGGTTCTAGATCATGCCCAAATCTGGAGTTGCTCCAGAAATGGCTTAGTTGGCCCCAACGTTCTAGAAAACCTCAGGTGAAGGAGAGTCCTCAGATTGCCTTGTTCTTCTAACTAGACATCTCTCACCCTGGGCTCCTCTGCCTTCAGGGTTAGCCTGGGCCTAAAGGGGACTCCCAAAGGAGTCCTCGGCAATCCCTTATGCCTCTTCCTTCTCAAAAGCCAAATTTGTTCCTAGGTAAGTGGTTTCCTGGGTGGGGGGGTGACACTAGTGAGTCAGGGATTGCTCTGGAGGTGGAGCTCTCTCAATTCACACTCTGCCTGGTTGTCTCATTCTCTAGGAAGCTGAAGAAAAACCAGCCTTCCCTATTTGAGGCATTGAAGAAAGCAGGAGAAAACCTGTATATGGTGATAGAAACTGTGGAGCTGGCAGAGGAAGAAAAAGTAGAGAGCAGATATTTAGTGGGCGGTTGGTTCCAATCCCTGATAGGGAAAATAAAGGTTAGAATCCTGGTGGAGGTGGGGAAGGGGGTACGGGGGAGGATGACAAAGGGCTCAGACGTGTGGTATTCAGAGGCCCGCAATCCTCATCATGCCCTGCCCTCTGTCTCTGCTCTGACCCTGCAAACATTGTCCGGTACTGCCTTCTCTGCCTCCCTTTTATCTTCACTTCTTGTCCTAGGGCTATAGGAATGTCAACAGGGCTGTCACCATCCCTTCTGAGAGTGTCCTTGCCTTCAGAGTAAAACTGCTGGTCTTTAATGAGGAGTGTTGCAGTAAGTAGAGGCTGTCTGAGGGGTGTTAGTGCCGTCTTATAGACTGCTCAAGGCAGAGAGATTTGGAGCAAGGCACGCCAAGTTACAGCTGGCATGGGGATCAGACAGGAGGGGGATGGTGGGGAAGGAGAGAGGGTGGGCCTTTAGAATGCTGGTTGCGACTCTGATCCGGACTCACCAGCGTTGTGCCCCACAGATTACCGGTGACCACCATGGGATCTGCCCTAGCCCTTTCAGTAGAAAGCTACAGATGTCCCTTCTAGCACTCTTTTGGGGAAGGAAGCTCTGAGGAAACAATCCGCTTCCAGTCTGCCATTGAGAGGCAGTTATAGGGGAGGAGGATACACCACAGGCAGACCTGAGTTCAAATCTTACCCAAGATCCTTATTAGCTGTTTGAAACTAGGCAAATCATTTAACCTTGATGAGCCTTAGTTTCTTCGTTGGCAAGATGAATCACAGGGTTATGATGTATATTTGATTGCATGTTGTCTCCCCCATTAGATTGTAAGCTCCTTGAGGGCAGGAGCTTGTCTTTTGCCTCTTTTTGTATTTCTGGCGCTTAGCATAGTGCCTGGCACATAGTAGGTGCTTAATGAGTGTTTGATTGATTGATTGATCACAAAAATCAAGTATATCACAAATATGAACTATTCTTGTTTTCTGTCATCCTAGAAATTTCTGATCCTAATGATAAAAAGTCCTTTCCTTTAGGTAAGTGCACCATTTAGACAGCTTCTCTCTACCTCTCTATCCCCTTTCCTAAAAAGCCTAGACCAGGGCTGGGATACCGTTGGCCTCAAGGCCACATGTGGCCCTCTAGGTCCTCAAGTGCAGTCCTTTGGCTGAATCCAAACTTCACAGAACAGATTGTGAACAGATTTGTGAAGTTTGGATTTGGCCAAAAAGCCTCACTTGAGGACCTAGAGGGTCACATGTAGCCTCGAGGCTGAAGGTTCCCTACCCCTGGCCTAGTCGCTTCTAAGTCCCTGACTCAGCTGAGCGTTTCCAGGTTGGAACAACCTCTGAGTGGAGGGACAATGAGATACACTTTAAAAGCACAGTCTAGTCCTCCTCCCCAGGGCTGTCTCTTTCCCATCTGAGAACAGGAAAAAAGGCCCTGGGGCAGGTGGGTGGGTGGGAAAAGTCAGCCCCATATGAAGAAACAGGTTGAGCTGTAGTGGAAAGAACAGTCTCGGAGTCAAAAGCCCTGAGTTTAATCCCATATCTGCCTTTAATCAGCCGTGTGACATTGGGGAAATGATTTCTTCCATCTCAGTCTAGGCTTCTTTATTTTTAAAATGAAGGAGGTGAGATTAACTGGTCCCTTTGATCTCTGTCAGTCTGTGATTCTGTGATGCCAAGTTGGGGCAGAAGTAGATCAGTGACCACTCAGGCACTCCTAAAGAATGTGATTCTCCTCTGCATGGGGGGACTGCAAAAGGCCCCAGAGAAGCAGCCAAAGGCAGAGCCTGGTGACAGGTCAGGAGGAGACCTTCATTTTTTAATTAGTCATAGGAGAGGGTTAGGCAGGCTGGTCAGTGTGAGCTGGAAAGAAGATGCAGGGAATCATGATAACTGTTTTGTGGAAGAGGGATTAACTTAGTCTCTGTGACTCCACAGGGCAGGACCAGGAGCTATGGTTGGGAGTTAGAAAGATGCCAAAATAGGCTTCATATTAGGGAAAAACAAAATGACTTCCTAATAATTAGAGCCATCCCAAAGTGGAATGGGCTGCCTCGTGAGGTGGTGGGTTTCTTCTCATTGTAGATCTTCAGACAGAGACTGGATGAAGAGACCTATCTTATTTGATATAGTGGGGATGGATTCCTTTCAGGTATGGGTTGGCCTGGACCAGGGGTGGGGAACCTGTGGCCTCAAGGCCCCGTGTGGCCCTCTAGGTCCTCAAGTATGGTCCTGTGACTGAATCCAAACTTTACAGAACAAATACCCTTAATAAAAGGATTTGTTCTGTAAAACTTGGACTTAGTCAAAAGGCTGCACCTGAGGACCTAGAAGGCCACATGTGGCCTCAAAGCTACAGGTTCCCCACCCCTGGTAGAGAGATGCTGAACACTCTCAAAAATTCTGTGAGTCCATCGTTGACGGGATGATAAGACTTGGCCAATTAAGTTCCTGTGTACAAGAGCTAAGGTGGATATAGTTTAGGTAAGATTTAGTCCTTACTGTTATGTCTCACCCACTGTGACCATTATTCTTTTTTGTTACAGAAAGGCATAGTGCCTTCAGATCAGGTAAGAACTAAGTCTACCAGCTACTGAAGGAAGTTGGGCTTCAGACCTCAAAAGGACCATCAGTGACCCCTGCAATCCAGGGGTGGGGCAGGAAGTCTGAGACCAATACCCCACCCATATGCCCTGGGGTGGTTCTCCTCAGAGACCCCAACTCCAAGGAGAGTGAGATCGTCCCTTTCCTTGGCTCTTGAAACCGAGAAGGTCAGGGCTTTCTCACTCCTCCCCTAAAGTACTCAGCCTAAGTGGCTGGGATATGGGGCCCAGTAGGTTATAGCCCAGTTAGAATGAAGTGTTGGGTTGACAGCACGAAGGGAAACTGTCAACACTCAGAGCCTGCCCCGAAGGGGAGGATGGAGCCCTTGATGCCTGGATTCCTGGCAGGGGAAGATGAGTTGGGGGAGGCAGCATGGTGGTGTGCTGGGGTTCTTAACCTTTAACATATCATGGACCAGTCTGGTGGAACTTATGGATTCCTCCTCCGAATAATGTTTTAAAATGCATTAAATAATATGAATAGCATTGCAAAGGAAATCAATTACATATCACAATTCAATGATCAAAATATTTTTTAAAAATCAAAAAAGCTCACAGACTCCAAGTTAAGAACCTCTGGTAGTTGTGTCCCAGTTAGAGTGCTCAACTTGAAGTCAGGAAGACCGAGATTCAAATCTTGCCTTGGACTCTTGGTGTGTGTCTCCAGGCGGGCTGCTTAACCTCTCTGGGCCTCCATGTCCTTATCTATATAATGAGGGGGTTGGGCTCAGTCTTTCGGGTCCCTTCAGGCTCTGAATCTATGACCCAATGATAAGGCAAGCAATCGAAGGGCTGATGAGACAAATCCTCTGGCTAGGGCCCCAAGAAGAAAGTGGTCTCAGGAAAGGAGCAGGCAGACTGGCCAATGCCAGCTGTTCCTCAGCCCTTTTTCTCCAAATTCAGGAGGGCGGACTGAGGAATCCTACCAGCTCCTGGAGAACTTTCGTGATCTGTAGAAGGTGAAGTACTTGATTTGGGAGCTTCAAGACCTGATAGAAACGATGTGGAAGGTTGTGCTAGCCTTGCTTACGAGGCATCTGCAAGATGTGACTCTGGAGCAAACAGAGAAAAAGGTGAGAGGCCAGCTTGGCTGGAGAGGAGGGCTGAGCGGCAGGGCAGCGGGCAATCCGCAGGCAGAATCTCAAAGAGCAGTGTAGTGGAGCGTTTGAGAGGATCACGGAGGCGTGCCTTCGTTTCCTCTCGTCCTTCTCTTGGCTGCTAGGTAAACAGGACCCTTCTCACGAAAGAGCTGAGTTACCTTAAGCTCCTTCTCCTGAGCATCCTGTTTAATGACTGTGGGAGCTTCATGCTGCAAAGGGCTGATGCCGTACTGTACTTCTTTGAGGCACTGGCAGTTGAGAGAAGGGTTGGGGTGGTATCCGGGGGCAGTGGCTGGGTGGGGAGTCAGGCCAGCATTTGTTTGGGGACAATTAAATAGAGCTGATTTTTCCTCCCACCGCATCTTTGAGTAAGCTGTCATTTCACAGAGGTGAAGGGTGCCACTTCTATTGTCCCCTTCTGGCCTCCTGGAGGCTGATACCGCTCCCCTCGCAACCCAGCCTAGGCACCTTGGTGGTACATTTGGTAGAGCTCTGGACCTGCAGTCAGGAAGATCTGAGTTTGAATCCTGCCTTAAACTCTTACTATTTGGGTGATCCTGGACAAATCAATTAACCTCTCTCAGCCTCAGTTTCCTCATTTATAAAATGGGGATAATAATAGCCTTTACCTTATAGGATTGTTGTGAGGATCAAATTGCAAATCCTAAAGTGCTATATGTTGTTGTTTCAGTCATGTCTAACTCTTGGTGACCCCATTTGGAGTTTTCTTGGCAAAGATATGCTAGTGGTTTGTCATTTCCTTCTCTAGCTCCTTTTATAGATGAGGAAACTGAGACAAACCGGGTCAAGTGACTTGCCCAGGGTCTCACAGCTACAAAGTGTCTGAGGCCAGGTTTGAATTCAAGAAGATGAGTCTTCGTGGATTCTAAGCCCTGTGCTCTATCCACTGTGCCACATAGCTGCCCCTAAAGTATTACCTGTTGTTATTATCCCAGCTGGATGACTCCCTATCTAGCATTTCTGGGTGCTCCTCAAGAGTTTCCTTATGGTTCTTCCCAGCCTGTGACCTAATCTGGGAAGCACGATCCACACCCTTTTCTTCTTCGCCCACCTCTGCTCTCTGTCCACAGAACTAAAAGAGTTGCAACAAGGAGCGGCTCTTGTCTGAGCTGATGAAGTTGGTGAAAAAGTCTGGGCCTCCTTGGGAAAGAGTTCTGAGGCTGGGGGATGGGGAGAAGGGGTGTGGAAAAGGAGATGCCTCTCCTTTTTCAAATGGAAAAGGGGCACCCAGGTTGGCCAGAGGGAGAGAGAACTCAGGACACGGCCCCTCCTGGCTGAGTCTGTCATTGGAGTGGGTAGGTATGTTATAGATGGAATTCTTGGATGGGTACAGATTGGATTAGGGTCCTCTAGAGTTGAGGGAACTGAGAGGAAGGGGGAGATAGAGTTTGGTCTCAGTGTCTTTAAATCTGGTGGGCATCATAGAATCTTCAAGTTGGAAATAACCTTAGAGTTGGTCATTTTTTTTTTTAACTAGGCAATGGGGTTAAGTGACTTGCCCAGGGTCACACAGCTAGTAAGTGTTATGTGTCTGAGGCTGGATTTGAATTCAGGTCCTCCTGAATCCAGGGCTGGTGCTCTATCCACTTCGCCACCTAGCTGCCCTCAGAGTTGGTCATTTTAGTCCAACTATTGACTATATATACCATAAATCCCTTTCTTCCAGGTGGAGGACATTCTACTGTAGACCTCCAAGAATGGGCCAGCATCATTCTCTCTGAAGGTTGACTCAGTCACCCACACCCTTGTGAGAATGTGTGATGCAGAGTACAATCTAGACCATGGTGTCACCTGGAACTCAGAGACATATCATTCACTCTGTGCCCTCTATATAGCCCTTTCTGTCCTGCTGCTATAGCTATTGCTATTGCTATTAGCTCAAGGGCCCAGTTCTGTCCTCTGATTTTGTTTCCCATGGTTGGGTAATTTAAATCTCAAATCACCAGATTGTTGATCAAAATAACTTCACGTGATTTTCTTCCAAAGAAGAAAAGAAAATGACCAGAGACATGCACTCTTCTATCTTTTGTGCAGTAGACTGTAAGCTCCCTGAGGGTAAGGACTGTTTGATTTTTGCCTTTGTAACAAATCAGTTTCACAGAATCTCAGAGTTGAAAGGAACTCTAGAGGCCACCTAATCCAACCTGTGCCTTGAGGATATTAAATTGATTCTGTAGTTTTTTTAATTGATCCCATTTACAGTTAATCAATTTTGTCCTATAACTGCCCAAGTCATGGTTCTTCGTCTCTGAACTTAGTTCAGCAATTCAGCTGGCCTGTAATGAGTTAAGTTTAGAAATCCAGTTTTCCTACTAATCACTATTCTATTCTTGCCTCAAGGAAATCTGCTATCCTTGAGGGATGCAGGTAGATACCAAGGAGTCAGGTCCACTATCTCTTATCTTGCAAGTGGACTCAAACAATGAACATTTCTTAGTCACAAGAGTTCAGCTACTCCTCTGAGTTAGTTAAAAGAAAACTTGTTATCCTTTATAACTTCAGCTCCTGAAAAATTCTGTGACACTTGTTTGCTATCTTTGAAGGCCTACAAGCTGACCTCGTACATTTCCACATGATATATTATCCATCCTTGCCTGTCCTTGTACAATTAACTCCCTCCTAGGAGCCAGGGAATCCACTATCCCTGGTCCACTCTCAATGGCTTCAGGATGCAGATGGGTCCCAAAAATCAATTAAGCACTCCTTTAAGACAGAGACAGATAGTTTCTAGCCCTATGTGTTTGCCCTCTCTTCTTAATATAACCAACCATTTTGTCCTTGCTCTCGTGATGCTGCCAACCCTGTAATTCACCTACCCAGTTCTGTTCTTTGTTCTACGCTTATATAAAGGAGTTGCACCTCTTTGGATCATTGGCCTCATTGACCCACTTTATTAACAGGTTCATATCTTGCTAATAAATTGATAAAGTTCAGAATTCCATGCCTCAGTTTACCTTTATTAAATTCTATTGAGAGAACCAGAACAAGAATCCTGTCTACACTATACTCAATGACCACCTACCTTCTGCTTAAAGACCTCCTGCAAGAGAGCACCCCTTTCGCAGGCATGCAACAAGCATTTATTAAGTGCTTACTCCATGCCAGGCACTCTGCTAAGCACTGGGGATACAAATACAAGCAAATACAGTCAACAAGAACTTATTAAGCACTTACTTTGTGTCAGAATTGTGCTATGGGTACAATGTCCAAAATGAGACAGTACCTGCCCTCAAGGAGTTTATGTTGGTGGGGTGGGGAGGGAGGTGTGTTGTGGAGAGAAAACATATTCGTGTATTGCCCAGCACTGGTAGTTGTTAGTTGCCAGCAAAACACTGATGAGTCTGGATCAAAACCAAGACCAGAATCTTGAAGATCTTCCTTCTTTCTCCGCCTCTTTCCAGAATGAAACAAATATGCAAAATAAATGCAAGGTAATTTGGTGGGGAGGAGGAAGTAGCAGCTGGAGGACACAGGAAAGACCTTAGGTAGGTGGCAAAGTAGATTGAGCACTGGACCTGAAGTCAGGAAGACCTGACTTCAAATTTTGTCTCAAACACTAACTGCGTGACCTTGAGCAAGTCACTTAACCTCTGCCTCAGTTTCCTCATCTGTAAAATGGGGATAACAATAGCATCTGTCTCTCAGGGTTGTGAGGATCCAATGAGTTAATATTTGGAAAACTCTATGCAAACCTTAAAGCATTATATAAATGCTACCTGCTATTATTGTTGTTGTTGTTGTTACTATTATTATTATTATTAAGGAGGTGACATTTGAGCTGAACTCTGAAGGAAACTAGGGATTCTAAAAGACCTATGAATAAGTGAGGAAAGACTTCAGTCCAGGCATGAGAGTCAGCTGGATATTTGCTCTAAATCACTATTGTTTGGAGAAATGCAAATTAAAACAACTCTGAGGTACTACCTCACACCTATAAGATTGGCTAACATGATAGAAAAGGAAAATGACAGATGCTGGAGGGGATATGGAAAGATAGGGACACTGATGCATTGTTGATGGAGCTGTGAACTGATCCAACCATTCTGGAGAACAATTTGGAACCATGCCCAAAGGACTATAAAACTGTGCTCACCCTTTGACCCAGCAATACCACTACTATGTCTATATCCCAAAGAAATCAAAGAAAAAAGGAAAAAGACTCATATGTACACAAGTATTTATAGCAGCTCTTTTTATTGTGACAAAGAACTGGAAACTGAGGGGATGTCCATCCATTGGGGAATGGCTGTGGTATATGATTGGAATGGAATACTATTGTGCTGTAAGAAATGATGAGAGGGATGAGTTCAGAAAAACCTGGGGAGGCTTGTATGAACTGATGCAAAGTGAAGTGAGCAGAATCTGGAGAACACAATACACAGTAATAGCAATATTGTAATGATGATTAACTGTGACAGACTTAGCTACTCTGATCAATACAACAATCCACAACAATTTCAAAGGATTCATGATGAAAAATGTATCCACCTTCAGAGAAAGAAATGATGGGCACTGAGTGTAGACCGCAATGTATATATTTTTCTTTCTTTTTCTTTCCCAGAATAGCTAATATGGAAATATGTTTTGCATGACTTCATATATATATATATATATATATATATATATATATATTGGGCATTGTACTTCTTGCTTTCTCAATGGGTGGGAGAGGGGGTGGTGGAAGGGAGAGAATTTGGAACTCAAAATAAAAAAAATTTTAAATAATAATAAAAAATAAAATACAGCCTGCTTTTATAATCCCATGACAATAATTTCCGCTGTGACTGCGAGGCAAAGCACTTGACCTCTCCTTGATGTCCATGGCAACCTCTGTAAAATGACTGGCCAATCTCTTAGGGCCCTTCTAGCTCTGACAATCTACGATTCTGTGATTCCGATCTTTGTCTTTGTTATTCCCTACATTCCTTCTCTTCCAGTAGGATCTAAACTTCCCAAAGAGTAGCTATTGTTTCATTTTTTTGTCTATGTAGCGATTTTTTTCTCTTAACTTAGGGCCTTGTCCATCATAGGTGCTTAATGTTTGTTGAATTGAATGGAATATATTGCCCTTCACTGAATGAGCCAGTTGAACTGAATTTCTTTCCAGAGCACAGAGCAGTAGGACTTTTCATCCAGTAGTAGAATGAAATTTCAAAGCTTCTGTGAGTTTCCAGATTTCTTATACTATAGGCCACCATTCCTCTGTTTTAAACAGGGCTGGGAGAAAAGAGAGTGAGGAATAAAATTAATAGGAGGAAATAGGAATATCTCACCACACTTTTTGGAGTGGTGACAGTCTAGTTCATAACACCTGGGTGGTGAACTAACAATATGTCAAGAAGAGTGGGGATAATCAGTCCCTACCACCAATGGAACTGATTTCCATGGTTCTACTTTGATTTGGTGATACTTGCAAAGCAATACATCCTGTAGCCAATAGGTCCTAGTAAAAGTGACCCACAACTGTCTTCACCCCATAATATCCTCTAGGTTAGTTTCTTAGGGTCCATATCTCTTAGGCCAACATATGGTACCATGCCCATGAAAAGAGAAGAAATGATGGTCTAATTATCTATTTTTCTTATTTGTGCATAAGGGAGAGTGGTCAGGAGATAATCTGATGAGTTCTTCAATCATCCTGATGTGATAAATGGGTACAGATCTTTGACTAGAGGTATCTCAAGGGCACCCCTTAGGGAGATGGACGTATGCATTGGCCCCTTGCCAAGAAAACTCACAGAATCTCTTTGATGGGCCCATTCGCTATTTACGGTCCTCTGCATAGATGTGTTCACTTTTTGCTCTTCGGACTCACCCTTCTACTTGTGCCTTCTTCTGAAGTGCAACAAGACATGGAGAGGGGGTTTCTCCCTTTCCCTCTTTCCTGAGCAATAATGGTGACTTACAGCAGAAAAAAAACATGGCATTGGTAGACATCTACTCTCTTGGCAGAGGACCTTCCCTCTTATTTTACCGAGAAAACTGAAGCTATTTGATGTGAGTTCCCTCCTCTTTTTCTTCATCTCAAAACCCCTTGACATCATCCCCAACTCTTTGCTGCTTTCCTCCAGTCTCCTCCCCAAGGCTACTGGCTACATGTGTGCTGGATCCCATCCCCTCCTGTCAATCATTGTCTCTGTCTTTCAAGTCTCCAACCTACCTATTGTTTGGTTCCTTACTGCAGTCATACATGCAATTCCTTTCCTGGACTCTACCTTCTCTCAAAGTCCCAGTCTCCCCAGAGCTTCAGTTTCACGTCACCAGTTGCCTGTTGAACATTTCACAAAATATCCTAGAGATAGCTCCAACTCAACATGTTCAAAATCCAACTCATTATCTTTTCCCAAAACCTTTTTTCTTTCTCAAACTTTACTGTTTCTGTTGAAAGCACCACCATCTTTCTAATTCCCAGGTTTGTTACCTCAGCCCCATCCTTGACTTCTTATTCTCCCTGGATCCCACACATCCAAATAGTTGTCAAATCTTGCTATTTCTAGCTCCACAACATCTTTCATATCCAGCCCCTTCTCTCTACCTTCCTTACTAGCTGTCTGACCTGGGCAAGTCATTGAACCCCCGTTTTCCTCAGTTTCTCATCCATGAAATGGGGACATACTGGAGAAGGAAATGGCAAACCATTCCAGTGTCTTTGCCGAGAAAAAACCCCATGGACAAAAGTCCATGGGGGTCACAGAGTTGGACACAAATGAATGACTCAACAACTATATACATAAATATGTGTATATATATATACATATACACATGCACACACAAATATATTATATATATGAATATATAAGTGCTTGTTGTATTTACCATTAGAATGCAAGCTTCTTGCAAATAGGAATTGTTTCATTCTTGCATTTGTATCCCCAGAGCCTAGTACAGTGCCTGGCACATAATATGTGCTTAATAAATGCTTGTTGAGACACTTGACACTTATTAGCTGTGTGACCCTGGGTAAGTCACTTAACCCCAATTGCCTCACCAAAAAAAAAAAATGCTTGTTGATTGACTGTTATGTTTGTATTGAGAAGGGAAATTCAGGGATACTATTCCTAAACCAACCTCCCAAGTAATGCTGAAGGGAGAGGAGGGGAAGGGGGAGATGGAAAATTCTCTAGGTAGCCATGCTTCTGGAATCTAGTCTTCCAGTGAGAGAAAGGAAATTCCCCCGACAGTAACTTCAGCAGCTTTAGGAAAAACCTCTGGGTGATCCCAAATTTAAGAGTTGAATTCAAAGGGTCTGGCACCAGTCTCCAAAAGGGACAAGATTTCCCCAACTTTGTGCTCCTTGAAAAAATAAGAAGATAACCCTGAAACTGAAGGGCTAAAAGCTATCTCTTGGAGGAGGGGTGAGGCAAGAGATCTGGACCTTGCCAACCCTCATTGCCATGGCTGTGAGTTTCTCAATCAGTGCAGGTCGGAGGTGAATGAGGAACTCTTGACCAGCAGCTCTTAAAATGTGTCTTTCTGTGGCTCAGTGACTGGAGTCACACAAACAAAGTTCTATTTTAAAGCCCAACCCCTTGGGGATATAACCCATGACCCACAACCTTCCTCCCCCTAGGACTCTGGGCTCATTTGAACTGGGGCCAGAATTAGATGAGGCTCAGTTTTTTTCTTTGTCACTTTGCCCCCCCCCCCCGAGTTAATCCAGGAAAATCTCAAAAATAAAGCTTAGGTATAGCTCTGAGTTCCCCAAATGTGAGTAAAAAGGTTCCCAACTCCCACACAGGCATTTAATGTCTATTATGGGTACTAGGGATGGGACAGACTTTATTTCATCCATCACAGAAAATGCAAAAGATACAAATCACTCACAGTAACAAATTGACATCTAAATATAGAGACATAAAGCACACAAATGTGGTGAAACTTTGGGTTTATTCTCCTGATCCAAAAGCACACTAGCATTTGTGGTCCTCAGGATAAG